CACCCCCACCCCCAGTTCGCTCCTCTCCTTGAAAAGCAAAAGAAAAACTCCTTCATTGGTATGCAATCCGCCCCGTCTGCCCCCCAGGACATCCCCACACCCACCCCAAGTATACTCCACTCTGCAACCCTCATTCCGGACTCTTATGATAATCATAATGCCCTAAAAGACATTAATTTTAAAGATTGTTTAACTCTTAAACCCCCAAGGCATATGTGACCAGCAAAATTTGAGAAAATATCTCTGTTTGTGCAATCTTTTTATTGCTTCCTTCATATCTTTGTTCCTTAATGTATAAATGGCAGGATTCAAGATAGGAGTAATAGCAAAGTCAACAATGAACAAATATTTATCAAGTGATGATTTGGGGAAAGGCCATACATAAAGAAACATGCATGGAGTGAAAAAAAGAACCACTACAGTGATGTGAGCTGACAGAGTGACGAATGCCTTAGATAAATCACCTTTAGAACGCTTCCAGACAGTGACCAAAATAAAAGCATAGGAAATAATTAACAGGAAGAAGGTGCCCATGCTCATGAATCCACTGTTGGCAGCAATAATAAACTCAAACTTGTATCCATCTAGGCATGCAAGTTTTATGATCCTGGGAAAGTCACAAAAAAAGCTGTCTATTTTATTAGGTCCACAAAAGGGTAGGTTAATAACAAATGAAAACTGAGACATAGCATGGATAACTCCAGTTACCCAGCCAGTGATTACAATTGAAACACACACTTTGGGATTCATGATGGTCAAATAGTGGAGAGGCTTACAGATGGCTGTGTACCTGTCAAATGCCATCCCTATGAGTAACACCATTTCTACTCCTCCTAAGATGTGGATGAAGCATATCTGTGTCATACAACCTTGAAAAGAAATTCTTTTGTGTTCATTTAAAAGGTCTCTTATCATCTTAGGGACCGTTGTAGAGGCAACACCCAGGTCAATAAGGGACAGGTTGGCCAGCAAAAAGTACATAGGCGAATGTAAGTGAGAATCAAGAATCACTAAAACAAAAATAAAAAGATTTCCAAGGATGATTCCCAAGTAGAGCAAGGAGAATAGTACTGTGAGAAAAACCATAGTTTCCCAAGAACTGGAGAGTCCTAGCAACACAAACTCAGAAATCACAGAGCCATTTAGTCCATCCATTTATTGGTATAGAAGAACTGATTTTCTAATGACCTGCAGATAAGAAATGAGAAAATGTCAGAAGAGCGGTATTGAAATTCATTTTCTATGTACTGTGCTATATTTTTCTATGTATTACTTATGCTGAAATTTTAAACCATTATCACCATGAAGAAAGTGATTACAATAAAAACAGAAACAATATTTTCAACAGTTTAGGTGGAGGCAAATGAACTTATTTCCTATCTCCCTCTATTCTTGGGGCTTTTATTTTTGTTCTTCAAGGATTTGAGACATTCTTTGACCATTTACCTAGGTGTTTTTCTACTGGTGTAATCTCATATTTTTCTGTCAGTTGGACATTAGCATTCTCTCACTACCTTGCAAATTATTTTTATTTGAGTTTTTTGCTTCACTAAGAAAGTAGAAAATATCAGGGCAAAAATGTTAATACTTTTTTATAGTGTATAATGGAATTATACTTTACTAGTTGCCCATAGTTAACAGTGACCATTTTCTTAACAAGTGATACTTGATAAATAATTCATATTAGTCATAACATGTTTTTGGTATACATTGTTATCATTGTTACTGTATACATAGATCTATATATACGACAAAACATTGTATATAAGAGACCAGATGCTTGTTAGTAAGTATAAAATGTTATTTAATTATTCAAAATAGCATTAGATTTGCAATCTCCTCATCTGTGATTTACAGTCTCCAAAACTAGCTGGAGGATCAATGATGAGGCAGTTCTGACACTACTACAATGAGAGAAAGCAATAGATGTTAATGTTGTCAGGTGCTATCAAGTTGAGTATGACTCAGTGAACAACAGACCTGAATCCTATTCTGTCCTGTGCTAACCTCATCATCTCTAACACACTTGGGCCCATTGCTGCATTCACCATGTCAAACCATCTTGTTGGAGATCTTTCTCTCTTTCATGGATTCTCTACTTTTCCAAGAGTGATATCTCTTTCCAAGGAATAGTCTCTTCTAGCAATATGTCTAAAGTAAGAAAGATGGAGCTTTGTCATCCCTGTCTCCAAGAAGCACCTTGGCTGCACCTTTTAAAAGACATACCAGTTTATTCTTTTGGCACTCCATAGGATGTTCAGTGCCCTTCTCCAACACCACAACTCAAAAGCATCAATTTTTGTATAGCCATCCTTACTAAATGTCAGATGCATAGTAAGTGATTAAAAAGACCATGACCTGAATCTGGTGCACCTTAGTCTTCAAACTGACATTGCGCCTCAGTGTTTTGGAGAAATCCCTGACAGCAGACTCGCCCAAAGCAATACATCTGATCGGATTTGATCATCTGACTGCTGGTAACAAAGGTATTAATTGTGGAAATGTCCATAAAAACCATTGAAGAATCATTTATATTAAACTTTACAAAAATTCCAAGATACATGCTACTATATTATTTGATTTTATAAACCAACTCTCAGATAGATCAAACATCAAATTTAGGGCCTGTATTCAGAAATGTACACACTGTAATCTATTCTCCTAATTCCAACTGATAGCAAGAAAAGAATATTGAATATACCATGGAATGCCAGGAGAATAAACAGGTTCATCCTAGATAGGGTAAAACCAGGCTGGTCCTTGGAGGCAAGGATTCTCAGGCTTCATCTGACACACTTTGGGCATGTTGCAAGGAAGGACCAATCCTTGGAGAGGGACATCATTCTTGGAAGAGTGGAGGGACAGCACAAGAGAGAAAGATCCTAGATGAGATGAATTGATTCAGTGACTGGGGTAACGAGGGTAGGTGTGTCAGAGATAATAAGGTTGGCACATGGCTATTGTACATAAGATCACTATGAGTTACAAGTGACTTGATGACACATAACAAAAGCAAACAACTAATTTTAAGTAGCACCTAGATATTGGCAGAATTAAAATATATGGCTTTTCCTCTATGACTCAAGAAAGTTCTGCTGGCTTAGTGGTAAGGAGTTGTTCTGTCATCTCAAAGGTTTGAATCCAACAATTGTTCCACAGAGGAGAAGTATGGGTAATGTCCTTCTATGTGATTTACTGCCTCTGATAACCTGCTGGAGGGTCAGCTATGGGTCTGCTTTTACTTTATGATACAAAACAACAACATAAAACATGACTCAAGGGTAAAAATTGTGCAAATGTGTAAATTGCATATAAAAGTGGGATTCTATTCAACCTCAATAACACTATAATTACATAATCAAAAGTTAATACACTTGTCTTAAACCCATTTTTACCTTACATGCCCATAAGCACAAGTTTCACTATAATGTATTTTCTCAATTTCCCTCTACATTTCCATTGTCATTTTCTTGCATACCACCTCTATAATGTATAAAAAGCTATGCTTTGCCTCCAGATCTGTCAGTACAAAAGTCAAATATTTAATGACTTTACCTATTTAAAGTCTTTCATGGTTCTAACAAGGAGAAATTATTAAAATATTTCATCTAAGTTTTTGATATGATACAGCCATCTAAATATTAAAAAACCGTGAGTAGAACTTTTAGGGAATAAATGTAGTAAACAGTTATTGGATGAATGATAATGTCCATTTCTGATGGCCTAGTACATGCAGAGTTGCACTGCTGACCCACAGGTGGCAAAACTCTGGCTGTTCAAAACCATCAACAGCTCCTTGGTAGAAAGATGCACAGTCTCTTCCCCTGATTGACAACCTATTGAAAATCCATGGGAGGGTCAGTTATGAGCTGATTTTGATTCTACATCAAGGTGTTAATGTTAGAGGAAAGACTAAAAGCATTTTGAAGATGAGGCTATAACTATCAGTCTCAGATTATAAAGAAAACTTTAAAATAAAGAATACAGCAAAGAAAGCATTCCAGCATTGTAATACAACATGCTGTAAACGGAAAATGATGAATTTAAAGTAAATAATATTGAAAAGAAGGTAGCAAATTTACAACCACTTATAAACTACACCAAAGTTTATTAAGACTTAAAACTATTAAATCTGAATATAATCATAAATGTTTGGAAGCAGGAATGGCATCCACTTCCTAAACAGCATGCTTCCAGAAACTCTATGAACTTTGATAAATATCAATAGTTGTAGAAGGGCTTCAGGGCTTCTGTTCACAGGGTCTTTATGAGTCATGATCGACTTGAAGGCAGTCAACAACAACAAAAATCATAAATGTAATAAATTCTGTAGAACTCTTAGAATATGATCAAATATATCTCATTTATAAGTTATGAATGTATAAAGCCTAGATAAATAATATTTTATCATATATTTGTAATCCTACATAAAAAGGAATAGTAAGTCATGCTAATAGGAAGGAAAAGGAAAAGCCTCAACAAAATAGATTGATATAGTGGCTACCACAATTGGTCAGGAAAGAGACTATGAGAATGGCACAGGATAGATTAAGGTTCAAATCTGGTGTTCATAGTTTTGCCATAAGACATAGTCAACTTTATGGCATCAACCAAATAACACTAACAAGGAAAAAGGTATTCAAACTATAAAAATATTAATTATCTATAGCCTATTTCATAGAATTTCCACAGACATGTTTAGGAAGTGTATGCCACTCCTGTTTCCAAGCCTGTCTTAATCTGTAAGCTCTACCAGACACTGTCAACCATAGATAACCATTACGGCAACTGATGCACTACTGGTGCTGTTTTTAATTGGTTTTGGTGAAACATTCTTATAGATCATATAGCCCTGGTGTGTCCACTTGCTATACAGAGGTAACATGGTTGCTGTGATGCTTAACACTGTGACACTGATGTGCCAAATGCGATAACGGTTACCCATGGTGGACAGTGTTTGGGGGAGCTCTCCAATTAAAACAAGCCTAGAAGCAGGAGTGTCATCCACTTTCGAGATAGCCTGCCTCCAGAAACCCTATGAACTTGGAGAAAGGATGAAAGTCACACAAGTGTTCAGGACTCTTGTTTAAGTTGCCTACAACTCGACAGCACTTATTAACAACAACAACAACGTCTACTTCATGTATTAAGTGGAGTGCTTATGTAAATTATAGTGATATTATTTTTAAAATAATCTAAAATATTATTTTGGTAATGGGATATTTTGAAATGGAAGTGTAGTGAGACAAGAGACAAAGGAATAGTATCTATAATATATATTAAGCAAGATCCACACCTCACTCCATATACAAAAACCAACTCTAGATGGATCATGGACCTAGAACTAAAACCAAGGACTATAAACTTCATTAAAGAAAAGATTGGAAGTTCTCTAAAAGTTCTAATTCACAGCATAAACAGTCTTCCAAGTATCCTGAAAAATCTACAACCAGGAGAAGATAAAATAGATGAATGGGATCTTCTAAGAATCAAATCCCTATGCACATTCAAAAACTCCAACAGGGAAAAAAGAGAAGCCACAGACTGGGAAAAAGTACTTGATAATGACATGTTAGATAAGGGACTTATATCTAGAATTTATAAAATTCTTGAGCACTACAACAAGGTAAAGGTAAA